CGGCACATCTGTCCTTCTTAAAAGGCGAAGATGCAGAAGCCGATATGAAAGGTCAATGCTATCAGTGTTCTGGATCTGGCGTAGGATAGTCATTACCGACTGTCTTGATGTTGGTCGGATAATGATAAGCAAGCACTACTGCACACTTTTGAAGAAGTTGTGAGATGGCCTCAAGCAGAATCGCCGTAAAAAAGTGCAAGAAAGATGTTTTATCCGCACTGACAGCGCCCCCGCCCATTCGTCCTGAGCTGCGATTGAAGTAGCAACATGATGTGGACATTAAATCCTACCGCATCTAAGAAATTCACCTGACGGGGTATTAACTGACTCTAAATTGTTACGGGAGATGAAGAAGCCACAGTATGGCCGGTGATTTAGGGACAGAAATGACGTAATTGATGAGGTGGAACAGTGATTTACGGAAGTGTGCGAAGGTCCTATAATGACCGCCTGAGGCAGCTCAAGAAACGATGCAATAAGTTTGCAGTCGTGTGTGGTGACTTGTAAAAGAGTAATGAACATCATGTAAAAAAATCAAATTTCTATCACATCTAATTCATGGTGATGATCAGAACTTTTCGATGCCCCCTCGTATGTAGTCATTACAGAACGCAGTATGCATTGTCAGCAAGTACCTATGTATGCACATTATAGAGACGGACACGAGACAGACGCTCCTATTCGTATATTAGTAATGGTCACAATGTGTAGGTAAGGCACCATGTTGCATGCGGGGGCTCTAAAAGCACGATGGCCAAACGGCGTAATCATGCATCTATGACTGGATCATAATTGATGATCATAACGATAATCACGACGGTCATCACAGCTAACCAGCATAAAAAGCTTCTTCATAATTATTGAGCCGTTTGCGGGTCACATTAGCATTTCTGGCAGTCAGCAAGCAACGCGCAACGGCGCCAGGGAGAGGGCCGCGACTTGTGACGGTGCTGTGAGATTAGCCCTCAACAGTGCGTGAGCAGAGCTTGGTGCTCTGCAGAGTCTGGTGGTTTTGCAATACCTGAACAGTCAAGCCGAACCACTTATATATTCAGCTCGGTGGATTTTTATGGTCTTGGATGGACCGATGCGACACGTGCGCAGGGAAAACGGCTATTCCGCCACAATGAAGCTTCAGCGAACTGAAAATTGAATGATAGTTTTTGTAATGACACTGGAGAACGAAATCGACCCCACACTGCAAGAATAAGCTTACAAGAACCCTGATACTTGTTGACACACGACAACAACTGAGGCTTCGTTTGTCGCCATTTCATACAAAATTCCAAGTTAAGAATGTTTCATTGATTCCGTTTCAACTACAGCCTTTATCTCTGTACAGTAGGTCTACAAAATAAGTCCTCTCCGTATGCGGGTCACCAGCGGGCAGTTAGCGCCTGAGCGCTACTCAGGCGCCACCTGCCCAGATACGGAGAGGACTTATTTTGTAGACCTACTGTACACCCGCACCTGCACGGCGCTGGCCGACGGCTATTGGGTCGCTCCGTTTATTGGGTCGGGTTGGGTTGGGTCGCTCCGTGTTTACTGTTTACTGGAAAAATGCTTAAATGCTAGCCTTGAGGGCGTCATAAAATACAGTGATGCCTACTAACCACTATTGTCTGTGAGATTGGCCGCCGTGACCAAGAGCAGTTTTTTTCGTGCATGTAATTGTTCGACGTCGCCTCACAAAAAATAATCATACTTAGTTCTGACCTCAGTTATTATAACTATTTGGGCGCGCAACCGATTTCTCTCCTCTCACGAGAGCTGATATGTGTGATTGTTATTCATCTTAAATCATGGGAAATATCGGACTTAAGACGAAAGGATATAACAAGTCACGAAGAAGTTTTTAAGGTGAAAACACCCTTTCCGTGGATAATAGCCGTTTTCACGACGGCCATCTGGTACACATTTGGTGCACATCTGGTACAGATTAAGTGCAGATTTGGTCAAATCAGGTTCAGTGTGTCTCTTAGCAGCTAGCAGCTAGGGTTGCACTTATTGCTTATATGCCTGCTTTGTCATATTATCAGAGAGCATCATCGATTAAAACACTGAAATAAATTCATAAAATGAAGACATTTGCTGTAAAAGAAATTAGGTGCAGATTTGGTCATATCAGGTGCATTCGCCGGATAGCCCGTCGTGAAAACGGCTAATATGTCCGGTCAGTTGCTATCGCTCACAGTCAACTCAGCGTACCCTAGCTGAACCGGATCTCACAAATACTCCACGACAGTGTGGGATTTCTGGTGCCACGGGACAGATGGCACAGACACCATCGCCCCTCCCCCTCCCTCCCGTCCCTTCTTCTGTCCACACGTGGTCCCACTCGGTATAGGGGTGGCTCAGAAATCGCAGGCCCGGGGACCGAGCACAGGTGGTTTACAGACAATAGCAAGAATACCAGCGGGCCACAAACGCCGGGGTGAAATATATTTTCATAGATATACAGTAACATCACATATGTAATATGTATTCTAGAAAGAATCGTTCAATATTCGAAAATATTTGTGACACCGTTTGGAACGTAACAAAGATATTGTACTTACATAACCATAATTTCAATAGGTCTAGGTCAATAGGTCAATATATAATAGGTCAATATATAATATATGATATAGGTCATAGGTCAACAGGTCAATATGGTCCGTCTAGGCCAATGAATTTAACGACAAAGAATGGAATGTGGCTTGTAACGTCAAAGCCGTCGTATGTTAGGTGTGTCTATATCAAACATTCTGGTCGCGCGCATTAATTTTGGCACAGAGTGACTTTGGCGACGGCCTCGGTCTAGGCCCTCGCTATGCCAATATGTCTGAACAAAAGCTGCGCAGCAGCCACAGGTCTGCAGTCTCTCGGCACTGCCAGTCGGCTATCTGGCCGCAGAAGGCGGAGCACGGGGAGCCCCGCTGTCCCAGCTGCCAGCCGAGGTCGGCTGTCCTGTCCCAGGGCGCCCGTGTCGCCCCTGAGCCACTGACCCACACTCGCCGGGCAGGGAACGGTGACAGTCGGGAGCGCTGCCAACACGACTCGCTGGCATCCGGCGGCCCCCTGTCCCGTGCCACTGAACGTGCCTCCTGCCGACCTCTGCGAGCCGACCTTCCACGGAGCAGGGCACAGCCGCACTGGTGCAGACACCACTTTTGGACATGTACCTACTCGTAGGCAGCTTTCTTTACATCGTTCCCATGGCATGATGCGCCATGCGGTACAGTATACATTCAGGCGCAAACAGTAGTGACATCTGGCGGCAGCGGTGCAACTTAGGTTTGGAGATGTGCGGTACAGCATGACTTCAGGCGCACACCGTAGTGAATTACCTATTAAATACATAATTGAACTACATATATCAGTAAACAGTATTGAAGTGCATTACATACGCTCTAGACCAAAATTAAAGTAAAAAATACATCAACGAAGACATGAGACGTCCTCTATATATGTATACCTACCATGAAAGTTGACAAATTAACATGAGACATTAAAAGTCTAGAGAAGTATCGAACTTGGAAACGGCTTGCACTTTGCAGGCTCTTACAGTTCAATGATTCAATGTATGGGTAGCGTGCGTTACAGCTCGTAGCGTTGGTACCGGTCGGGGCTGGGCTGGGGAGGGCATTGATCGCCCTGTGACACTATGACTGATCGCCATGATACTATAGGCGAAGGCTGTTATTGATTGGTCAGCTCATGGAAATGGCGGCTATCGACAAACATCGGCACCTCCGCCTAGCCGTTCAGAAAAAAAGCAGACTGCATACATCACAAACCATAAACAGAAAATCGGAGAACTCCTCAAAGTAGCCTGAAAGCGGGGGCGTCCGCACTGGTCTGGGGTAGGACTGGGGTCACTGGTTTCCTCCACAACGCGGCTCATTCAGGACCATGCATTGGCAATAATGGTCATCACCGTACCATGTAGAACATAGGTACGGTCCATAAAAGGGATGGAAAACTACCAGACAGGCGGGAATAATCAATGGAAAGTGTAAGAAACCCAACGTAAAACAAAGTATATTAACATAACGAATACACATTGTGCAAAGAAATAAGCTATCCTCATACGAGCACACCTTAACCCTCGCCCGCACATGCCATTTTTCCATCCTAGAACGCACATGGGGGGGGGGGGGGGTGGTTGCCACCCCCCCGCGCCATTTCGTTCCTGTTGGAGATAGAGCTTAGCAGTAAAGACCAAAAAGATTCTTTGGGAAGAGACGAATCCAATGATACCCAGTTTTACCTTCTCAGGTCAGTCATTGACCTTCCAGGTCAGGTCAAACTAAAAAATGTTGCTGTTTTGGGTCACCGTTGGATATCAAGTGCGCTGCTTATCAAATACCGATGACGATGCTGTTTTCTGGTGCCAAGCCAGCTAGAACCTCTTTGTCACACTATCCGACCAGAATTTTGCTGCTGAGGTCATTTCAGGTCAAGTTAGGTCAAGGTCAATTATATGTGTTTGTATGTCTGTGTGTCTGTGTGTATACTGATGTGTGCACCGATTGTTTTTGGGTCCATATCACATGAAATCATGATCTGAGAAGCTTTTACCAAAAATGCAGTCAAAAAACTTCACAAAAAGTAAATTCAGCTTGCCTAAAACGCAATTATCTTAGATGACCTAGGTTGACCTTGACCCTGACCTTGACCCCTGTACCTCGTCGAACAACATGTTCCATGATAGGTGGGAGGTAAGACTGGCAAAAAAGGCCGAAAGCAGGGTGTCAAAAGCTCACAAGGCCCATGGCAGACGCAAGATGTTGAGAATTGGCCATTTGGGTCATGACATGACCTGAAAAACAAGGTCATATCTCCGAAACCAAAAATCATAGAAACTTGAAATTTTCAGTGCACATCAAGAAAGGATAGACGAGCAGCTATACGAAAAATCAGCCTTCTAGCTCTAAAAATGTTGAGTGCAGAGCAGAAAGACTGCCTGGGGGGGGGGGGGGTGGCAACCACCCCCCATGTGCGGGCGAGGGTTAAATCGTCAAAACTGGCAACAGTGAAAGCTGTCCAGTAAATCTTAAGTTCTATGTTGTCTAATTGTATCGTGTGCACTTTAATTTACTAACATTGTAACAAAAACATGCCAAAGGCTTTCCACAGGCCTACCAGCAGCACACGCGACCCCTCTCCATCCACTTCACCTAGCCCTGCACGCCGCCATGAGTGCCAGCTGGTGACTGAAGGTCGTGCCATGCCACGCTGGTCTCCGGCAGAGCCGTGACTGTGACGAATCAACAGCGCCAGGTACCCCACTGCCTGCGCTCCATGTCCGAAACGTATGCGGGCGTCTGAGAACACGGCTGGACTGTTTCGTCTACGACACACGCCTCCCACCACGGCGGGTTTTTGGCACCTGCCCGGTCCAGCGTCGGAGGGCCGTAGTCTGGTCAGATTCAGGCCAGTAGGTCAGGTTAGATCAGCCAATGGTCATACCACTAGCCAGCATTGTTCCTGAGATCGCCAACAGTATCTTCATCAGAAGAATATCGCCTGGAACGGACGGACATCGCAGCATTAGAATTGCGCCGCAGCTCTTCTACTTTATCAGTGGCTGGCCAAACAACGGTCAATGGCCACAGTCCAGCGTTGTTCCAATGCCACAGTCTTTGTGTTGTCATCAATGGGTGCAGGCGAGCTGGTCAGCGAGTATTGAGTAGCCACCCAGACGTCCCAGACGGTCGGGTCCCGGTGCACGTGGACTGGGTATGACCGGTGTCCGCAGACCGGTGCCTCAGGTGTCCGTGTCCGTGTTGGCCGTGGTAAGGTGTCCGTGTTGGCCGTGGTAAGGTGTCCGTGTTGGCCGTGGTAAGGTGTCCGTGTTGGCCGTGGTCAGGTGTCAGTGTTGGCCGTGGTCAGGTGTCAGTGTTGGCCGTGGTAAGGTGTCAGTGTTGGCCGTGGTAAGGTGTCAGTGTTGGCCGTGGTAAGGTGTCAGTGTTGGCCGTGGTCAGGTGTCAGTGTCGGTCAGGTCAGGTCTGTCTGCTGATAAAGTTATGGTGCTCATTCCCATTACCTTGGTGGCGATACACGCTGCTCACGCTATCAGCGGCGATATTTTTTCCACCATTGAATTGTTTGGGAAAGCTATTGAGCCATTGTGCCATTTACCAGGTAATGTGAAAATAGACGAAGCTGACCTATCACGCATCTGTCTCATTTTTACCTAAGGCCAATTCTACCAACAGTAAAATCGACGGTAAAAAATGCGGTAGCTTTAAGGTCCTGAAGCCGTCTACAAGTTACGCCAGCTACAGAAACGCCGACCGAGAAATATTCGCCGGCCCCTAACTGATCTTTATTTATACAGAATCTTTTTTTTTTCGTTGCCGATGAAACTTATTGGGAAGACTAATGGGTGGTTTAAAAGCAGCCTCAGCAGACGATTTTCTGTCTGTAAAACTACCTCTTACCTCATAAATGTTTGAAGCGTCTCATGCAGCCTATGATTTTGACAGCATGATTTGTACTTTGAAAATATCCTTATCGCCGCTTTCCGCTGGTCGCTACTGATCAATAGATACCCCCTGTCCTCAGATCAGGTCTCCGACGTCTGAATTAGATAGGGACATACCAGCGTCCAGCGACCGAGCGCCGGTTGGCACCCCCTCTCCGCTGATCCCTCCACCCCTTCCGTCCGTGACATCTGGGTGACATCTGTCGTCCCGAGTCCGGAGGACCCTCGGTGTCGTCTGTCGTATCCAGGCGGCCGTCAACGACTGGAAATTTCCATCAGCGGAGGTGACGGTCAATAGCGATACGTTACCGGTCCACGAGCCTGTGGCCCCGGGGCGTCTGTACCCTGTGCCGGACCCAGGTGTTCGATGAATTGAATGGCCTGCGTGAGCAGCTGCCCGGCTGTGTAGACGACCCACATTCGGCCAGTGCACGTGCGATGGCATAAGGCTGTTCGATAACATATCCGTCACTGAATAAGAAGCTCAGGCCAAGCCTGACAAGAATTAAAGGTAGTGTGCCACCTTTGAAAGATTTCCCATTTTATTTTTCCTAGGATAAGAAGCTTCTGTTTTTACCTAATATCGCAAAAAAAATCAAAAATGGGCCTGGAATAGTGCCTTTTTCGCCTAAAAGTTTATCGGTTTTTAGATATGTATAACAACTGTAGTGGGCTCACCTGCAAACAGGCGTCGGGCAACAATTGCGAATGCGGCGCACTTGTGACAATAAGCAAAGGTCATTATAGTGTTACGACCATACGACGTACGGGAATGAATTATCAGCTGTCTAATCGTAGACAACACAATGTCGAGCCTTAAACTGTAAGCCCGTATTGGTATTGTTTCTTTTATTTGGCTGTCGAACATTATTTATGGTTTGAAATATGATTTTATGTAAAATAATTGATATGAAAAAGCCGTCTTATAAGTTATGACCCCATTTCACCACACGCAAGTGGCAGAAATGACAATGATCAGCTGACGCATTTTTCTTGGCCGAAGTCAGAGCGCGCGGCCCGACGCACCACGCGTATTTGGAAATTCCGACCTCGACGAGCATCAGAAGCCACCTAACAGGCGTGTTCGAAACCGCAGGAGATGATGATGAACGGGTTTCTCGAAACTTGATTGGATGAGCATATCGGTAATAGCGATTTCAGTGTGTGCATTTATTGTTCATAGTGGTGTGAAATGTGGTTGGGGTACGACCGACAACCCGTCGGGGCGAATTTCGCACTGGGGTACTCAAAATTTGAAGAATTTAAGACGTTTCCATGAGTTTTGAAGGTATGGATAAGTTCTAAAAATCCGGTTCTCCTTATCTGGGCCATTAACTCCATACGGTCCAAGAAAGCTGGCACATTAATGGTCCTCAAATATAGTAAATGATCTTGCGATGGCTAGTCAGCTCATAAACGGTCGCGGAGAAAGGAGGCACTTCTGATAACTCGGAGACGGAGACACTCATATAAAACTGCGATAACCGTCCTTACATCTGCGTGCACCTCCTGGCCATTTGCCTACATCAATTTTACATTATCTTTTGTACTCTGTTTGGTTTAAATTATTTTAAGTTATGAAAAATATTATGGCGCCACTTCACGCCAAGTTTGTTTGGAAAGCTGGAGAAAACTTCTCAATTCCGTTCAACGCTTCATTATCATGACAATCCCCGGAAACACTGTCATTAACAAAAATAAAAAAGTTGTTTTTTCAAAAATGTCAAAAGTCATCTTGATAAGCAAGCAAATGTGAAAATTTAACACTAAATGATTTTAGGATTGAACCATATCAACAAACCATTTTTTTTAGAGAATATGTCACAGAGTTTTAACTTGTCAACGCTCTAGATAAACGTCTATTAAATGTAATCATTTCTGCGAATTAAATAAGCACTAATTGACTCTAATCGACTGGAACATTCCTGCGAGTGGAGAGATGCCAATGAAAATGAAGTTTGCTTATGCAAGCTGTTATCGCAGTCAATCTATGGAAATATTTCCGAGGTAGTGGATGAGGCATGACCCATCCTAGTCTTGCAGTGAGCGGCATTTGCCAATTTTGACGCAACTCTGCCAGTGCATGCCAGACGCCAACTCGGCTCTACGTTCTCGAGCATACAAGAATGTTTCGAAAGCTAGTTTTGCCCCCGTTGTCGGCATTCCGCCAGTGTTCTGGGAATATGCCAATCAGTCGATTCGGCCTATCCGGCCAGTGATCGCCTCCCGTTATGAGTGGGAGCGACTGGAAGGTGCAGGGATATGGCTGGCACCAGTCCAGGCCGCAGTGTTCACTGCTCAGCACCCACGGTCAAGCAGCAGGCAGCTGATGTATAACGAAGTTATTTACAGACGATCATCATTTAATTGATGCAATGAGAAAACGAAGAGATTACAAACCTCGCTATATCAGGATACGAATGCATATAGGTAATCGTACACTGTAAATGTAGAATGCTAAGACGACTGAGGAGCATGAGAAAAACAATGACCACGACGAAGTGGAATATCGTCTGCCAACGATAACATGCCCTAGTGCAGTGCAGGTTGTGCAACAGCTATTTGCGTGCGACTGAGGCAACAGGTGGGGAATTTTACGCCGTTCGCTTGGACCGATAACAATGTTCCAGATGTAACTAGTTAACGTCTCGTCTTTCTAAACATCTTTTTGCCAGTATGCGTATGACTCAGTGCATAAGAAGGTCCCATCTCCTCTTCCAGTTTTGCATTACGGCAGATAAAAAAGGACGAGAACTGAAACTCGACTCTAACTGGTCTTGGCTAACCAATGTTACCAAGGAAACTAAAAGTGTTAGCCACAAAAAAAACTTGGTAGTTACGTTAACTGCTCCACCTTGATATAAAGGCGCAAGTCAATCGTTTGGCACAGTGCATCGCTAGCGGTGCACTGTGTATACCTACTACTTATTGTATACCTATTATTAACTATCAAGACATACCTACGGAGGCTTCAGAGTCGTCCAGCACAATGCTATTGCAATTATAAAATGGCAATGGCATATCAGGATAGGTAATTGTTTTGGGTGTGTGCTTCTATCACCACTTTATGCATACAAGTTAACTACAAATTGGACAATGGACAGCCGAAGGCCAGTAGGTACCTACGGTCACTTTGTAAGACGCATTTTTATGCATTTTTTGTATGCATGCATTTCTGCAGCATGTTGCGCCGCGGGGACATTCTCTAAAATAATTGTTTGTTTTTGTTTCTGATTGTTATGTCAATGTCTAGTAGTAATTTTGGCCAATGTCTAGTTTAGCCACCACGGGATAATGAAACGAGACTTAAAAGAGGATAAGGGGAGACGTTGCCGACCGAGTTGACCACCGGCTAATGCGCCACAGGCACAGCGGCGGCTCAGTCCATCCCGTGTGACAGCCTAACCCCAAGCCGGACCAAACAGTCAGCCGCACAAACGGTCACCACGGAGGGTCACCGGCGGTGACACCTAGAGGGTCACCACCGGTGGCGCCTAGAGGGTCACCGGCGGTGGCAATGGAGGGCCACCGGTGGGGGCAGCTCAAATACCGCGTCGGCGGGGGCAGCTCAAACACCGGTGAGGGCAACTCCAACACAGGTGAGGGCAACTCTGACACAGGTCAGGGCAGATCCAACACTAGTGCAGACTGCAGCTCCAACGCCGGTGACAGCAGCTACAACGCCGTTGGGGGCAGCTCTACGGACCACGTCTAAAGGCCTGTGCTATCACGAAGACGCGCATTTTATCACCAAGTTGCCTGCAGTTGGTACCTATTGTTACAGCTTAGAATGCAATGCGTCGTACGGTGAGTCAATAGACAATGCGACACAAGCAATGCCCATGACCGTGACATTTGCTGTCTAACCCGTCTCGGTCGATAGTCGCTGGTATAGGTTAGGTGCTCATCGAATGGAAGTCGGCAGTCGGTTCCCAACAGCTAAGCGCCACCTAGGCACCGGGTAGGAACATTTTGGTCGTACCGTCCGCCGCATCACGTTCTATCAGCAAGGAAGAAGGTGCATGGCATATGCATTGCG